GGAAATTTTTATTTCCGAGAGTACTTTTCAATGTTTTTCCCCATACTTCTTTTATGATAGTTTCACTCAACAAAGAAATAGCCAGCCATCTATGATGGTGCATGCCTATCATCCCAACACTCTGGAAGCCTGAGGCAGGACAATAAGAACTTCAGGCTCAGCCTTGGCCCCTTTGACTTAGTAACACCTCATTTCAAAATGAAAAATGTCTGAAGATCTGGATTAAGAACCTGGGTTTCTTTTCCCAGTTCTGCAAAAAGAAAGTTTAAGCAATAAGAAATTATTTCTGCCTATAAAAAGCCCACACAGTGATTGATTTAAAATGATCTCTCTAGCCACTTTTCACTTTTGTTATTCAGAAAAAATATCCTCCTACTAGAACACACAAAAAAGTACAGAATAAAAATGCTGAAAGTGAAAATTGATAGTAATTGTTTTAGTTGGACTTGAATATTAAAATGAAATAAATTGTCTCTTCTACTAGAGTCCCAAAATTTTTCACAGCTCCTTTAAAATTTCCAGATCCTTTTTTAATTTCCCTGAGCAGCAAATGCTTCCATCTTGGTGTAAATTCACTATTAAAAAGCCTCTAAATTATGACTCTCTTAGTCATGAAATAATGCATGGCTTTCCACCCAGCATCTTAGTAAACCATCACCCTGTAGAAGTCCTGCTTCGCTAAGCTGAGGTTGGAGGTCTCCATACACAACCTCAGTCTTCATGCCACCCAAACACCACCATCTTAATGCCATGCTCTGTCCAGGGGCTAAGACCATTCTAAGAAAATTTTTCATCTCCTACCTTCCTAAAGAATAGGTACTATTTGGTCTTTATATTTGGGGGGCCTGATTTTTTTAGTTCTTTATATATTCTAGATAGTAGACCTTTGTCTGAGGAAAAGCTGGTAAAAATTTTTTCCCACATTGTAGGTTGTCTCATAGGTCTGTTGGTGATCTCATCTTTTTAAAAAGCTTCTGTACTGCAAGAGAAACCACAAACAGAGCTAAGAGACAACCTAAAATGTGGGGCAAAAATTTAGTAGCTGTTCCTCAGACAAAGGTCTTACTATCTAGAATATATAAAGAAATCAAAAAACAGACCCCCCAAAATATAAAGACCCGATTCAAAAATGGGCATCTGAAATGAACAGACATTTCTCAGACAAAGAAGTAAAAGCAGCAAGTAAATATATGAAAAAATGTTTAACATCACTGGTCATTCAAGAGATGCAAATGAAAACAACACTGAGATTCTACCTCAACCCAGAAAGAATGGCTGCTTCAAAGAAATCAACCAATAACAAATGTTGGTGGGGCTCTAGGGAGAAAGGAACCCTTCTCCATTACAGGTGAGAGTGCAGACTGGTGCAACCACTGTGAAATCAATATGGAGATACCTCAAAGAACTAGGATTAGAGGTTCCATTTGACCCAGCTATACCTCTGCTGGGTACCCTTCCAAAAGAATTAGAAGAATCATACCACAGTGATATATGTGTACCCATGTTTATAGGAGCACAGTTTGTAATAGCTAAAACTTGGTAACAGCCCATCAGTTGGAGACTGAAGATGTGTTTTTTTTAATAAAATGAAGTACTGCTCAGACATAAAGAATGAGAAACTAGAGTCGTTTATAGGAAAATGGATTCATTTGATGCCATATGCTTAAGTGAAACAAATAAGTCACATATGATTAAATACCATATGGTTTCTCAGGGGTGATAAAGTAAAAAGTGTAAATAAGGGTCAAAATTGTTATGTAGGAGATATTGTGATGTAGGAGAAAATATCTGAAGGTGTTGGGCAAATAGGAGGGTAGGGGAAAGGTAAGAAGGGAAAAGAAAAAATAGTAAAAGGAAAAAAATGTAAACAAAGTCTTTGTAAATAGGGAAGGGTGGAAAGGGTGAAGGAAGGCTAGGGGAATGGGAAAAACGTAAGAACCAAAATATGTCATGTAAAGGTACAAGATCCCAATGATGATGTAACTGTACTGTATACCTAAAATGTACCAATAAAAATTTATTTAAAAAGAATAAGTAGTTACATTACACTATTCTGAAAATAATAAGATTTTAATGTATTATCAGCCTTTTAAAAGGAAATCTAAAAGTGCAACAATAAAAGAAGAGATTGTGGCTTTATAAAAAGAAAAAGTACATTGGAATTAAAGGGTCTAGAGGGATTTAGTTCAATGGTTCTGCCACCTGCCTCACAAGCGCAAGGGCCCAAGTTTGATCCCCAGTACCAAAATAAATAAATGAATAAATAAATTAATTAATTAATTAATTAAATGGCCTAGATTAGAAGACTTTTGGTATAAGATAGCTGTGTGCCCATAAAAATATATCTATTTCTGAATCTCCTCTGTTAGATGAAAAGTCTAGATTAAATGTTTAAGTGTTCAACAAGGCCCAGTCATACCAAATTATCCACAATTGCAATGCATTTGCATAAAATATATAAATCTTGGAATAGTTGGGGTGAGGTGGTGAAGGGTCAGGAAGAATAGATCTGCACTAAACATTCAAAAACTAGAACAATTTTAAATTCCCTTTCTGTACAAGACAGAAAAAAAAAAGAATTTGACTATCTCATTAAAAGCATAGACATTAGAAAGCAATATCTGGGTTAAATGAAATTTCTAGCCTTTTTAAGAATCTCCGTACTGATTTCCACAGTGGTTTTACTAGTATACATTCTCAACAACAATGTAGAAGAGTCCCCCCCACCAAAGCCTTGCCAGCATTTGTTATTATTTGATTTTTTTGATGATGGCCATTCTTTCTGGATAATATTGAATCTCAGCATTGTTTTCATTGGTATTTCTCAAATGGCTATTAATGTTGAGCATTTCTTCACATACTTATTGGCCATTTGTACTTCTCCTGTGAAGTATATATTTATTTGACTTAATTGTTTGATTGTGTCTTTTATTTGGGGGCTGTCATTTTTTAATTCTTTATGTATGCTAGATAGGAGCCTTCTGTCTGAGGAATCACTGACCAAAAAAATTCCTATTCTATAGATTTTCACTCTTGTTTTTTTCTTTTGTTACACAGAGCTTTTTAATTGCATATCATTACCTTTGTTGTTTCTCAGAACTATTTCCTGTATAACTGGGGTTCTGTTCAGAAAGTCATTACCTATGCCTATGACTTGAAGAGTTTTACCTACCTTGACTTCCAGCATTTTAAATATTTCTGGTTTTAGTTCTTTGATCCATTTTGATTTCAGCTGAGTATAAATAAAGAAATATGGGTCTAGATTAAAACTTCGGCACGTGGATAGCCAGTTTTTCCACCACCATTTATTAAAGAGGCTGTCTTTCTTCCAGTTTATAATTTTGGCACCTTTCTCAAAGATCAAATATTTGAGTTATTTCTGCATCATCTGTTCTATTCTACTGATCTCCGTGTCTGTGTTTGTGCCAGTGCCATACTATTTTTATCATAATAGATTTTGTAATATAACTTAAAGTCTAGGATTGTGATGCTTCCTACTTTACTCATCTTACCAAGGATATCTGTGATAGTTGATTGATTTTGTCAATCCTGATACAGACTTGTGTGGGACACTGCAGTGAGCTCCATACCTTTGACTAAGTCCTTCAGTCTCCAGTGTGCAGACAGACCCTCTGCACTCTCCCACATCTGACTCTGCAGGTGGCCATTGTAAGCCAATCTTGTAAATTTATATATATGTTTGTATGTCTTCTATCTGTTTCTCTAGTAAATGTTTACTGATATAGCTTTTGCTATTCTGGGTCTGATCTGGTCCCATATAAACATTAGAATTGTTTTCTCCAGTTCTGTGGAGAATGCTGTTGGAATTTTGATTGGGATTGCACTGAATCTGTATATCAATTTTGGAAGTATAGCTCTTTTGCTGTATTGGCTCTGCTTATCCAGGAATAGAGGATAACTTTCCATCTTCTGACATCCTCTTCAATTCCTTTTTTAGAGTAGTATAGTTTTCATTATACAAGTCTTGCACTTAGATTCATAAATGTTTAATGTTTCTTGGTGATATTGTGAGTGGTATTTCTTCCTTAATTTCCTTATCAGTGGGTTCATTATTAGTATAAAGAAATGCTTTTGATATTTGTGTGTTGATTTTGTATATTGCTATATTACTAGATTTGGTTATTAATTCCAAGACTGTATTTTTGAGATCTTCTGTATACAAAATTATATCATCTGCAAGTAATGATAATTTGACTTTTTCCTTTCCTATACACATCTTATAGCAACAGAATTCATGATAGTTAACTCTTGGAAGCAGCCCATATATACTCAGTACATAAACTGATAAATAAAATGTGATGTTTATACACAAAGGAGTACTACTCTGCCACAAAGAAAGATAAACTTGAGTCATTTTCAGGAAAATAGATTCACTTGAGACCATAATCTTAAGTGAAATGAATCACACACGATGTTAAATATCACATTGTTTCTCTTATATGAAAAACCCAAAGCAAAGATAAAAATCAAAATAAAAGATAGATAATAGGAGGGCAAGCAATGGATTGTTCTCAAAAGGAGAGGGGATCAAGAGATGAAGGCAGACCAAAGGGATAAAGGGGATAAGAGATGAATAATAGGAATTGGGACATGGTATGTATATGTATAAACTCCACACAAAAAAATGTAAACATTATCTACTACGAACATGTACAAACAAAAGGACAGGAATCCTAGAACAGGTGGAGGAGGGATGGGAAAGAGGATAAAAAGCAGCACTCGGGAGGCTGAGGCAGGAGGATCACTGTGAGTGCCCCACCAGCTTGGGCTACATAGTGAGTCCCAGGTCAGTCTCAACTACATAGTGAGACCCTGTCTCAAAAAAATAAAAGAAATAGACATGTTTTATGTATATGTACCAACATCCTGGAAGGAATATGCATATTGTGTACTGCAGACATGTACTAATAAACTAAAATAAAAATATAGATACTAATAAACAAAGCATTTTATCTCTTTATTTAAATACTGATTCTTTCTTAACAAAATATTTTTCCACCCAAAGTTTTCCTAAAGGCAACTTTGACATCCTTATTTCTCAAGCTATAGATTAATGGATTTAACATAGGTACCACAATAGTATAAAACAGGGAAGATATTTTCCCTTGATTAAGGGGCAAAATAGATGGTGATTTGAGATACATGAAAGCCCCAGAACCAAAGAAAAGAAGAACCACAATTATATGAGTGCTGCAGGTGCTGAAGGCTTTGGATCTACCCTCTGTGGAACGAATGTGAAGGATGCTAGACAGGATGAGGGCATAAGAAATGAAGATGGTGACAATGGGTATTCCAATGTCAATGGCCACAACAATAAAGACCACCAGCTCATTTGCATAATTTCTGTTGCAGGAGAGCTCAAGAAGGGGAAGGATGTCACACATGAAATGATTAATAAGGATGTCAGAGCAGAAGGTCAGACTCATTATGCTTCCTGTGTGAGCCATGGCCCCAGTGAGGCCCATCACGTAGACACCTAACAAGAGGAGTGAACACACCTGGGGAGACATGGTGACCGTGTACACCAGTGGGTTACAGATGGCAACATAGCGGTCATACGCCATTGCTGAAAGGACAAAGGACTCAGAAATGACAAAGAAGCAGAAGAAAAAGAGCTGAGTCATGCACCCAGCATGCAAGATCCTGTTCTTCTTGGAGATAAAACTCATCAGCATTTTGGGGGTGATGGTAGTGGAGTAAGATAAATCTATTATGGAGAGGTTGAAGAGGAAGAAGTACATGGGGGTGTGCAGGTGAGAGTTCAGCCCTATCAGGAGGATCAAGCCCAGGTTCCCCAGCATGGTGATCAGGTAGAAACCTAGAAACAGGAGAAAGAGTGGAATTTGAAGTCCTGTCTCATCTGTTAAGCCTGTGAGGATGAACTCTGTCACAGAAAAGTTTCTGGCTGCCATTTTCCTCTTCAGAGTGTTATCTGTGGGGTCAAGAAAGAGGACCTGTTCAAATGGTATCTTTGACAGTGAGAAATAGGAATAAAATGGCTAAAGGGGAAGTGGGAAGGGGAGGGGAAATGAAATAAGAGAAAAGAAAAAATGTGGAAAAAAAATGGAAACAAAGTCTTTGTGAATAGGGAAAGGTGAAGGGGGTGAAGGGAGGGCAGGAGTATGTGGAGAAAACAAGAACCAAGACGTATCATGTAAAGGTACAAGATCCCAGTGATAGATGTAACTTTATTGTTTGCTTTAAATGTATTGATAAACTTAATGAAAAACAAAAGAAAAAGAAAAGAAGACCACTTTGAAACAAATGGTGACCCTTCTGCATCTCTCCCATATTCTTGAAAAAGGAATCCATAAAATAAGGAAGAATTTTCCCATTTGCTATGAGTAGTACCAAACAACCAGGTGAGTTTAACCTCTAGTGCTGCACACAAGTCAATAGAATGAGGTGCTGCTTCCAGTAACAAGAGCTGGTGCTTCTCAGAAAAGATCACTGCAAACTAGCTGGGTTTCTTTTAGATTTTGAAAAAAGCCCCTAAAGGTATGCAGTGAAGTCTGTCCTTCCCTCTTTGGACTCTGCTTCAATTGCTGCACGTGTATCTCTTAGCTGTCCTGACAGGTAAAATTACCATGGATATGGGTCAGTGTTTTGAGTTCAGAATGTCATTATATATCTGTAGCTGGTGTTGTTTTACTTCCAAATGTTTTTAAATCATATAATTCACTTAAAATTTTTAATTGACACAGAGGTTGTTTTTTTCTAAGATCTCTTAATAATTTTTACACTAGTATCTATTTAAACCTTTCTGTAAGAGGCTGTGTTATGGGATCTAATACAGATGAGAAAACTGAGATGAAGGATCTAGCCTAAAGACACAAAAGTACTGAGCTTCACTCCAAAGAACTTTGGCAGTCTGACTCAAAGTTTGCTTTTGTAACCACAATGTTACATCACAGACTATGGTCAGGCAGGCACTCACCTTCTTCATTTAGAGCTGACGTTATATTCTCTACTGTCTCTTGTCCAAATTTTCCTGGGAACAACAAAAACCTGGTGAATAAAAATAACAATTTTGTCTTCAGAGCCTGACTTTCCTAGCCTGAATGAAAAAATCAAAATCTCTAATTATCTAATGTCTTTTTCTGCACTGAAGAACACAACTTACATTTGTTAGTTTACCCAAGAGCACCTCCAACTTCCAGAAAAGTGACAGCATTTATTCCTTACCTGTAGATAAGAGAAGAATAAACACTTTGAGTCCCAATTACAGGTCTCAGCGACCTTATTTTGGAGGTGGTGATGTTTCCTCACACTATACTTCTTTTTTAAAAAATGAAATATATTTGTTTATTCTTTGGAACTGATTCATGTGACTTTTAGAGACAATTATTTATTTCAATGAACATTTATCCAGTAGCATTAAGAGAAAAATGATTACAAAAATTGATTGTCATTACCATTTATATACATTGGGGGGGCGCAGGGCATCAAACTCAGGATCTTTTGCTTGTGAGGCAGGCAGTGGTACCTCTAAGCTAAATCCCCAGAACAGCCATTTATATTTTTTAATACCCACTCATGTACCTATAGTGGTTAAGTTTGATTGCATCAACTCGATTGGCTTGAGAGGCACCTGGAATATAGTTTGGAGAAGATTTCTGGATGTGTCTGGTGGGTTATGAATGTGGGATCTTGCATCTATATTTGGTCCCTGCCCTCATCCTCCTGGTGTTGTTTCCCTGCTCTGCTTTCCAGCGTCCATGAACTGTGAACCTTTGCTCTGCCATGCCTTTCTACCTTGTTGTTTTTGCCAGCTACCCTGTACTGTATCTCTTGAAACCACAAGCAAAATAAATCTCTCTTCTTTTAAGGTGTGTTAGATATTGTGTCTCAGAGAAAGTGAAGCTCACTAATACAGCAGTAACCCAGTGCCCTCGTAGCAACTCCTCCCTGCAAGTTTCAAAGCACTATATAAATGTGTCCTATTTATTCCTCAGGAAAATGAAACCCATAGGAGAGGCCATTTACTCACAGAGATGAAATGTATCAGAGCCCAGAGTCATGTCTAGGTCTATCAGACTCAAGCCATTTATCTGAGTTCTAGATTAATCTAACTCCAGAAGCTTCAGATCCACTTAAATCTATAAGGTAAGATCTTTGTCTGCTCAGACCTGACAGTCACTTGGAGAATAACAAATGATATCCAATAAATTTAATTTTAAAAAAGAAAAGACATGATAAGAGACAGGAAAGTCTAATGCACAGGGTTAATATGATTTAGAATAAAATATTGAATAATTTATTCATATTGAAATTTATTCCAGAAATTAATTGTACTACCCCCACTTCAATAACAAAAGAAGACTTCATAAAATCAAAAATATGCAGAAACACATAATAAAATTTGACCCATAGGCATAAAAGAAAAATACATTCAATAGAAGCAAATTCACATAAGACCTAGATGTTGGTATTAACATACAAACTTTTAAAATATTATAATTTTTTATTTAGATAAAATGGCAAAATTGACTAATGGTAAATACCAGCAAAATATTAGAAACAATAAAAATAACCTAGTGAATTTTCAATCAGAATGAGGGATTCATTGGGTTGGCTTAATAGCAGACAAAATCAAAAGATCAGTGAAGGTAAGACACATCAATAGAATATATCCATACTAAGTTCAAATCAGAAAAAATAATTTGAAAGAAAGAACATAGTAATCAAAGCCTTTTTAACAATGCTAAGTAGTCCAATATATGTATAGTCAGAGTTTCAAATACTCAATTGAATAACAATGATGTAGAAGGAATTTTTTTAAATAATAGGTGAAAAATGGTTCATCAATTAAATTTGATTTAATTGAATCAAAATGTTCAGGAAATCATAAGCAAAATAAGTTCAAAATATACCACAAATGGATACTTTGTACTCAACTGCGGAAAAATCACAGATAAAGAGGGAAAAGCCTTAAAAACAACCAGAGACCACACTACAAAAAATGAGGAGAGAAAAAAGTAAATCCAAATGAAAGTTCAGATATGCAGAAAAAAATACAGAACACTGTAAATGGTGTATATGTGGATATATATATATATATATATATAAAACTACATTTTACTTTGTTCTTTCAATTTTTACTTTTCATGTTCATTCACTGTTTAAAGCAATAGGAAAATAATTCATACATAATAAAAATAGAGAGGTACCATTAAAATTTCAAAGAAGTTTGATTTTAAAAGACTGCTGATTATGTATGATTCTGTAGAAAAACTACAGTCAACAAATATTGATGGTAAATTTCAAAATAACAAGTAGAGGATTCTGAATGTACCAAACCCAAAATATAATAAATGTTTAAAGGTATATATATGCAAACTATCTTACATGAACATTACACATTCTATAGTGTATTAAAACATGACACTGTAGCCCTAATTATAAAATTATTATATCTAATACAAATATTCTTAAAACCCAACAGAAGACCTGAAATAAAATACAGAAAAGAGACTCAAATAATCCAAGAAAAAATATGAATTCTCGCTTTTTAAATAAATTCCATTTGACCTAGCTATTACAATGATACATGCACGTGTTTATAGCTGCACAATTCAAACTAACTAAATTTTGAAAATGGCCTATTGATGGATGAAGAAAATGTAGTACTTACACACACTGGAATACTATTCTGCCATGAAGAAAAATAAACATGAGCCTTTTGCAGGAAAATGGACGCATCTTGAGACTGTAGTACGAAGTGAAATAAATCAGACACACAGACTGAAATACCACATGATTCCTCTTCTATGACAAACCCAAATTATAACTAATGAGCAACATAAAAGATAAATATGAGAAAGTATAAAGACAGGTCTTTTTTCTGAGAAGAAAAACAAGAGATGGAGAGAGTGGGAGGGAGAAAAGGGAAAGGGCATAAAAAAAGAAATTAAGATGTGCTATACACTTACACCAACTCAACCCAAGGAGTGCAAACTTTATGTACTGCAAACATGTATAATAAAAAAGTGAAAAAATAAAAATGTGTTAGCACATTAAAATATATAAATAAATCAACATTATTCACCATATTAATATAGCACTATATAAACATCCCATCAGATAAAAAGCATTTAACAAAAACCAACACTTCCTCATGGTAAAAGCACTCAACAATGAAGAACTGGAGAAAAACATCCTAAAACTGATAAAAGATGTCCTTTGAAAACCTAATATCATGCTCAATAGTAAGGTACTAAATATTTTCATCGTGAGACCACTAAGAAGTAAAGAACATTCCCTCCAATAAATTTTGTTTAATTGCATATGGGAAATTCTAGCCCCCTCAGTAAGAAAAAAACATGCAGCTTCCCAACAAACACACTCAAAAAGAATAAGAAAATTGAGACTTTACAAAATAGCAGTCAAAATGTCGACCATATATATAATCAAACTTCCTTGACTGTCTCTACTTTCCACTAGTCAATGTGAACACTGTCCATTGACACTCTGTTTTACCAGATCATCATAGAAAAGTTTTCCAATATAAGTGTATGTTTTCTCTGTTTTCTTTGCATACAGCAGTTTACAGGTCAGAGAAAAGATATGAAAACCTATATTTAAGGATGACCTAAGTGAACAAAGGAAAAACAAATCCATAAGCAATTTTTGTGCCAATCATTACATTTTTATGTGTGTGTACACAGCAGTCTCTGCTTACCTATCAACACATTTCCAACCAATATTCCACAATATTATTTGTGAATTTACACAAGAGTTTGCTGTCTTAAAGCAGCTGTAATGAATCTCAATGCCTGCACTTAATCCCATTATAAATAAATGATAAGTAGAGCAAGGCAAGTAACTACTACTTTTACAAACTTCCTTAGACAGCTAACGGTAAAGAAGACCTCAGGGACTCATTAAAATCTTCCCTTTCTATGAAAGCCTTAGAGGA